AGTCTAGGGGTAAGGTGTAACATTCCAGTTTTGCCCATCTATCTCCAAGGTCCAGGGCAATATTGGAATTCTGGTCCGGTTCAGGGTTTCAAGAAAACCCACACTGCATGTACCTCAGGTCTCACCCTGATAGCTGAGACAAGCCACCCCAACCAACTTGGTGGCATATCAGTGTCAACCTTGACAGGATAAATCTCCCCAAATCTATCCAACGGCTGTAAAGATTCTAAACTAACATGAGTCTCATATGTGTCCAGTTTAAGGGTATTATACAGAAACATACCATAATAACATGAATCAAATATGTGCTTTATTCATTTAAGTTAAATGTCATAATGTACATCATTCTGATTGGAGCTAAGGGCATACATTGTCTAACAGCTCCCACTTGCACTTAGGTCCAATCTGGTATAAGGCAGAGTCCCATGCTTTCCATGTGTTTCTCAAACACTTTCTGTGTTAGTGGCTTAGTCAATAGGTCTGCTACATTATCCGCTGATGCTACCTTCTGAATTAGGACGTCCCCTCTACCAACGATCTCCCGTAGTACGTGGTACTTCCTCTCGATGTGCTCTGACTTTGAGTGGGCTCGTGGCTCCTTAGCCTGAGCAATGGCTCCAGTGTTGTCACACAACAATGGAATGGGTAATGTGGTGGATGGAACTACTCCAAATTCGTGAATGAACTTCTTCATCCAAACGGCTTCTTTGGCAGCTTCACTTGCGGCAATGTATTCGGCTTCGGTTGTGGAATCCGTCGTGCACCCCTATTTGCTGCTTTTCCAACAAACAGCACACAATCCTATCGTGAAAACGTATCAAGATGTAGACTTTCTATCATCTGGATCTGACTGGAAGTCGGCATCAGTATACCCCTAGATCTGTAGTGAACTACCATCGAATACCAGACAAAACTCTTTTGTCCTTCGAAGGTACTTTAGTATGTTTTTCACAGCAGTCCAATGCTCCTGTCCTGGGTTTGACTGGAATCTACTTACCACACTCACTGCTTGAGAGATGTCAGGGCGAGTGCACAGCATGGCATACATGATGCTCCCTACGGCTGAGGCATAGGGAATGTCTTTCATGCCCTCAATCTCCTCGRGAGTCTTGGGAGACATACCCTTGGAGAGAGTGACTCCATGCCTGAAAGGAACATTTTCTTTCTTGGAGTTCTCCATGCTGTATCTCTTGACTATCTTGTCAATNAGTTCTCCATGCTGTATCTCTTGACTATCTTGTCAATGTAAGCAGATTGGGATAATCCTATTATCCTCTTCGATCTATCTCTATAGAGCCAAAGACCCAGTATGTAGGAGGTTTCTCCAAGATCTTTCATGGAGAATTGCTGTGAAAGCCATACTTTCACCGTAGTCAACATTCCTACATCATTCCTAATGAGTAGAATGTCATCTATATACAGAACCAGGAACGTAACCTTATCCCCACTAGATTTCTTGTAAACACAGGGCTCATCCGGATTTTGCTCAAAGTCAAACTTTTTGACGGTAGAGTCAAACCGGATGTTCCAAATCCTTGAAGCTTGCTTAAGTCCATATATGGATCGATTTAATTTACATACCATGTGTTCCTGACCCGCAACTATAAAATCTTGCAGTTGCTGCATATAGATATCTTCACTAAGATCTCCATTCAAGAACGTGGTTTTGACATCCATTTGCCAAATCTCGTAATCATGGTACGCTGCTACAGCTAGTAGGATCCTAATGGATTTAAGCATGGCCACCAACGAAGAGGTTTCCTCATAATCGATTCCTTCTTTCTGAGTGTACCCTTTTCGCCACAAGACGAGCCTTGTAGGTCTCAACCTTACCATTAGAGCCCTTCTTCCTCTTATAGATCCATTTGCAACCAATTGCTTTTACCCCAGGGGGCGGATCTCCTAGAGTGCATACTCTATTGGTCTCCATTGAGTCCATATCAGCTCTCATGTCATCTACCCATTTCAAGGAATCTATATTCAACATAGCTTCCGTATAAGTCGTGGGATCCTTCTCACTGGTCGTGGCTTCCACCAAGTAACTATCCTGGTCATTGCTGAAACGAACTGGAGGCCTAGAAACCCGGGTAGATCTTTTAGGTTGGTCATTAACTGGAGCTTGTGGGACATCTCCCACTACCCCTGAGCTCTCCTCATCAAGAACAACTTCTTAACGATGATTGTTCAGGATGTAATCATCTTCCAAGAAATGGGCATTTCAACTACAAAACACCTTCTGTTCTCCTGTGTCATAGAATAAGTAACCCATAGAGCCTTTGGAGTAGCCTATGAATAGGCAACGGCTAGTCTTGGATTCCAATCTGTCCGCACTCGTTCTTTTAACGTGCGCTGGACAACCCCAAATCTTCAAGTGTCTCACACTTGGTTTCTTACCGGTCCAAAGCTCATAGGGAGTCTTCGGAACTGATTTGGTTGGAACCCAGTTCAGCATGTATATCGCAGTCTCTAATGCGTAACCCCAAAAGGATGTGGGTAACTCGGACCATATCCAATAAAGTCTGGTTCCTTCTCTCTGACACACCATTTAGTTGTGGTGTAGCAGGAGGAGCTAGTTGTGATACTATCCCATTGTCCTTTAAGTAGTCCCTGAATTCGTGAGAAAGATATTCGCCACCTCGATCTAATCGAAGGGTCTTAATTTCTCTCCCTAACAGCTTCTTGACCTCTTGTTTTTATAGAATATACAATATTCTATGATGCATACAATAAAATATGATGCATATACAATATTAGAGATGTGCCCAATTGGTTTTATAGAATTTATGATTGTTTTTTTTTTCATTTTTTGTGGTTTTTATCTTTTTTACTTTTATTTAATTATGACATCAAAGGTTAATACATTTGACCTAAAAGTTGAGCTACTATTGACCCATTACCAAATAGGAAAACAATATCATTTTTTGTTAGTTTTACATTTTGTATTTCACTTTTTTCATTACTAAAAAAGTCTTATTTATCACACTTATTTTTCTTTAATATGATTGATATAAAATACCGGAGATGTGGACCAATTTTTTATTTTTTCTTATTTTGTGTACCTATTTCTATTTTAGACATTTTATTATTTAACTATGACATCATGGGTTGACCCAATTGGTCCATATGGTTAAATTGCATACAATCCATATGTACAAAAGAATGACTTCATTTTTGGGTCATATAATTTATTAATGAAAAAATACATTATTTATAGGATTTAATGTAAGAGAATGAGAGTTAATAAATTAAATATAAGACTTAATGAGAGGGAGTTAAATAAGGTGAAAAGTTGTACTTTAAATTACATTTCAACCATCACAATTAAAGAGGGACTAAATTCAAAAATAGAGATAGTTTAGCAACATTTGATAATGTGGTAGATACTCATCCCAGCCTGTTTAGCAATGGAACACATAAAATGGCATTTGTTTAATCCCATGGCGCATTCCAAAACAATCTATGGCTGAATTTGGAACACAAAATATTGTGCCATTCCAACCCCCATTTCCACCAGTTCACTATATATACATTAATTTATTATATATAAAAGTTGACCAGAAGCCAATTAAATCCAAATCCGATCCAATTTAGTTATATTCAAATTTGAACTCGATGTCATCAAATCCAATGAGATTTGAATCTGATTCGTTTATAACCCTAGTTCAATCTATCACCTAGCCATGATTCCAAGTCCAATTCTTTTATATACCAAAATTCGGCTCAGCTAAAATACATGGGGATCGATTTTGTTGAACAAAAAGTTGGTAAGCGTGGGTAATTCAAAGGCACCAACTGACAAGCTAGCAAGGTCTCTCGCCAATTTTAGTAGAGACGAAAAGACGTGGGGGTCAAATTCAGCCATTGCAGGAGTTTGAGGTGGTTGAGATGGTTATCCAAAGTGCAAACAAAAAATACGTCGGGTCTTCGGACTTGATGCTGAGAGTTAAAAAATTGAGGGTTTTTTTATTCTTTTGCTTCAAAAAGAGTTGAGGTTGTTGGGTAAATCGGTTGGCATACGTGCGTGTTGGGTCAAGGGACATATTTTTTTGATCAATAACTGTGAATTGAATTAAGATCATGAAAAATGACAAAGGGAGCTAAACAATCTTAACTCTTGAGTACAACCATTGAACACCAAAAATAAAACAATTACAATACAGCCCAAAAAATAGAGATTCCATTCACCCCTTGCCTAGTTAGACCATCTGTCAATGAGCTTGCACTTCTCTTTACCCATGTGCATTGAATTTCAAGGGACATATTTGCATATACTTATGGTAAGAAGTGTACTTTTTCTTTCTTTCTTATTAACAAGGTTCAAAGTATTGACCAAGGTTCAAAAAATCGTTATATATTGGCTGTTATGTATCGTATCTGGAGCACCCCAATATGCCCCTACAAAGGGTGTATCGGGATTTTGAGCAGTTCACGGGGTGGAGGAACCTTAAACCAGCCCCCCTGAACCAAATTTGAAAAAAAAAGTAAAAAACAAAAACAGTACTGATACTCCCCTACCGACATATTGGGCGTATCAATATTTAGAACCTTGGTATCGACACGTATCAGCCCATATCAGCCAATACGTATCGTGCCGATGGCTTCCCAATACACCCCTCCAAGGATTGTATTGGGTCAGACCATGGTTCAGAGGGTATTTGGGACTTGAATGGTCCTCTGAACCAGTTTTGAAAAAAATAAATAAAACATAAAAAAAGGCATATCAGCCTATGTCGATACTTTGAAACTTGCTTATTAGAGCAGGAGAATTGTGCTTCCAAGGGGTAAAACTAAAATTATAATAAAATGCAATTTGAACCTATACAGTATCAACAACCCTAAAGTAAAGAAGTGAAGAAAAACCCATGCTGCTAGAAAGATATGATATGGAAGGGCTTTAACCAATCAAAACCCCCTTGTGAATTTGACAAATAACCACCTGATTGGTTACCGATGATACCAGTCTTTAAGGAATTAAGCACATCCAACACCTAGAACTGAAATTCCAGCGTACAACTTTAATTCATAGTCTTCACAATCTAACAGGTATGAGGAAGAAGCAAAATAAAACTAAGTTGTATAATTATTTAATCACCCTATCTACATATCAAACAACTCCAACATTTACACAATGAATGAAAAAATGGATCAAAAGCAACCGACGAACTAAACAAAAAAAAAGAACAGAAAAAGAAAAAGAATCGTTGCTGGCCACATCAGTTGTTAGTGATGCTAGACGAGATTTTCAAAATCACTGACAATGGGATATTAACAATGTGCCCTTGGTTTCCAAAAAGCCCAATCCTTCCAAAGCTGGCGAAGGAGCTGTTCATAGTAGCATTGAATTGCACAGTCAAGTCCTGTTTCTGCCCACCTGCAATGAAGAAGCGAGTTGGCGACACCAAAACTGAAACTCCATAAGGAGCACTCCAACCCACATTGTAAGTCTCGTTGCCAGCTATGTTTGTAACTACTCTTTGGACTGTTCTTGACTGGTTTAGCTTTGCTATTGTGATGGATGGCAAATTCAGGTCAGAGGCATTTATGTTATAAATCCCACAACTCTTGCCAGTGTAGTTCAGAACAATAGGAGAGGATCCGTTTATGCCACAAAGGAATGACAAAAAGTCATCATAACCTAAAACAAGCACGAGTTTAAGAAGTTAAAATGATCTGATGACAACAGAAAATAATGTATATAATATGTAATTTTCTCTTTATTTTCATTATTGATGAAAAATATCAGCTAAGTGCTAACCAATTCAGTAATACGATGCATGAAGTAATGTTAGCAAATTGGTTTGCACAATTTCATGATACAGTTGTGCTATATGGAACTGATCTACCATTACGGCCATATTAAATTCAATTTTCAGGTCAAGTAAGAGATCTAGGAGCTTTTGGTCGAGTCTCTTTCTACTTTTGTACATTTTACATGTCTTCCTCCATTAGGCATTGAAATAATCACTTTAAACAAGTATATTGACACATGAAATAAATGGTGGTTTATGAGAATGATGATATAACACTGAGACCATCTCTCGTTCCATAGGATCAACCTGGTTCTCTCTCAAAACAGAAAATCTCTCACATGTTCCAGAGAGAAACATGTTTAGAGCCCTTCGTCTAATTGGGTGGGAAAAAGGGATGATTTGACTTAGCTGCAAGGCAGTAACATATTTAGTTTTTTGAATAACTTTTATGCAATACAATAAACTTCCTACAAAATATGTAGCAGCGCTCAGCCAACACAGTATCATGTTTTATGAATTTGAGTTGGCCAGTCCAAACTAATGAAAAGTGGAGAATCTTGTTTTACTATTAACGCAGGTAATATTATGACAAATTTAAGCATGAAAGTGTGGAGATTTTGAAGTATCCTATGATAATAGTCCTTGTATTGTATCTTATTCTTTTATTTTTTTCCCTCCTTCAGCCCTATAAGGGGGTGGGAGTTGATTCATTCTATTGACACCCCTGAGGTTGTGTTTTTCTCTCTTGTTAGACAGTTTTGTATATCCTTAGCTTCAATCAAAATGATGTACTTTATGAGTTTATTGTAAATGAATAAAAGTGCATATTTGATTCATGTTCCCTTGGTATGTTTCTGTGT